GGCAGCACACCGCCAGCGTCACCTGCACGCCGTGGCCAGCTTAAGTTTAAGAGCGAATCGTGAGGATGTCTCAGCAGAAACCGGCTTTCTTGGTTCAGATGGGCGGGCTGGACGACATGGGCGAATCAAACGCACGTTCGGGCCTGCGGCGGCCGCCCGGGACGGTCAGGGCACCCACAAGGCGCGCGCTCGCCGTCGACGGCGGGGCGCGGCTGCGGGAGAGCAGCCCGAGGCGAGGAGGCCCTCCCCCCACGAGCGATGCCCTGGCAGATTGGGCCAGTTTGATTGCCGCCAGTTTCCGTCGAACGCGTGCGGATCAAGGGTGCGACGGTGATAACGGATCATTGTGCAGGCAGTTGCACGTCTCGTGGAATATGTTGCGGCGTTTATTTCCGTGTTTTGCGTCGTGAATTTTTGTTATCCGTGTCGCGCCTCCGTCTACTCACTCCCTCCTCCTCCTCCTCCCTCCTTTTCCATATCACGATCAGAATTATCGCGATGTGACAGGTCTCGCACTTGGGCAACACAAGGGGGTGCCGCCAGGGGATAATTAGGACACTTACCGGTTCGTGCCCAGATTGTGGGGATGTCTCCAGCGGTTCGCTTGTTTCACGGATGTAGGCGCGTCTTTTTCAGGGCCGCGTGGTGTTCGCGATGTCGCAACAAACGTTGCTGGGCGCCACAATGGGGAGCGACCACGGGGTGGGACATTTGCCCACTTGCGGTCAGCATTCGGGGATATCTCACGCGAGACGTTGGCTTTTTGAGGTGGGTGTACTTTTTTTCAGGGCCGCCACGAAGGAAGCGAATACTCGGATCAGTCCCGACAGTCGCCGCGGTACTGGGAAGACCGTCGGATCGATCATTTCGTTGTCGATTTTTTTTGGCGCGTACCGTTCAAACCTTCAGGGTGGCCCAGTGTTGGCAAATTTTGCGCGGTGGTTGCACGACGAAGGTGGGCACACCATAGAACCCTTCACGACAGCCCATCGTTGTAAAGATTTTCGTCGCGGGGCCTTGGACGCTCTGGGTCGTCTAGGCCTTGGATAGGCGTAGAGTGCGTGAGGGGTGTGCCGAAATCGGGCCCATTGAGCCGTCTTGAGAGGTACGTAGCTGTTTCTTATGTCTTGTTTCGCCGATCGGCGCGGGCCCCCGCTCCCTCCTCCCCAAAGACCAGATCTTGGCTGCTTAAAGCGGTTGCTTCAACCGGGTTGATTAAGCACTGGGGCCCGCCCCCCCTCCTCCCCCCGGTGGACACACGAGCTGCTGCTGTACGTGTGTGAGTTGTTTTCTCGAGGCCCCCCCCTGGGAATGAAACAAAGGGTATGTAGGCAGCTGAAGTGGGATCATGCGGAATCCTATTTCGACCTGCGGCCGTCTGTATGTTTCATGGTTGCACGCCGAGTGGAACACGTCCACCGCGTCGACAACGAACATACGTTTTCGCGTTGCATGCCGAGTGGAATTCGTCCACCGCGCCCGCAACAGCTCCTCTGCCGCGTGGAATGTGATTCCATTGGTCCGCCAAAAAGGGTGTGGAAAGGAAAGGGGTTGAGAGGGTTTGCTGAGAGGAGAATGCAGGATTAAGGTCGACTGGGGCTCATGGCGTGCATCCGTGGGGGCATAGAGGGATGGTGCGACTTGCTGATTGATCATGATTGATAGAAGTCTTTCTGCTCTCCGATGCTGCGAACCCCAGACCGTCGCCGCATCTTGCTAGAACCAAAGCGCGCGCGCAGCGCGCGCGTGGTTCTAGTATATATATATATATGTATACACATATACATATATACCTATATGACCACCCTGCGGGTGATAAGGAGGTCGGGGGATCTCATTCGATCGATCTCACAATCGATCTCTCAATCGATCTCACATTCGGTCTCACTATCGATATCAATATCGATATCACAATGGATCTCACAATCGATCTTACGATCGATCTCACAATCGATCTGACGATCGATCTCACAATCGATCTCACAATCGATCTCCCAATCGATTTCACATTCAATCTCACAATCGATCTCACTATCGATATCACAATGGATCTCACAATCGATCTCACAATCGGTCTCACAATGAACATCATCATCAACATCAACATCACCAACCACAACGTCAACATCATCATCATCAACATCACCGTCATCATCATCATCATCATCATCATCACCATCATCTCCATCATCATCACCATCATCATCATCACCATCATCATCGGGACACCGGCGGGACACCGCGGGCCACCAGACGTCCGGGGCACAATCATTTGGTCCGGCCGCGCCTCAGCCACTGGAGACTTTCCTGACACCGGCGGGACACCGCGGGCCACCGGACGCCCGGGGCACAATCATTTGGTCCGGCCGCGCCTCAGCCACAGGAGACTTTCCTCTCGCCCGCCCACGCAGCTTCGCCTCGCCCGCACGCACGGCACGCACGAACACGAAACCGAAATCGATTTCCCGGTAGGGGGGCTCTCCGTTCCACTTCGATCTCTCCCCCCAACCTCCGATCTATGTGCACATCGACCAGATACATACAGCAAAACAGTTTACACAGAGCGCGCGAGAGAGAGAAAGAGAGCGAGAGCGAGAGCGAGAGGTGAGGTCAATAGAGAGAGAGGCTTTGATAATGATGGCAGGGAGAGGGAGAGGGAGAGAGACATATGGAAATATATACAGAGAGAGAGGACGGTATAACGATACACCCAGCGTGTATTTTAACGTAATGCGATATATGCAGAGAGAGAGAGAGGTATAACAACAGACAGAGACATATCTCAGAGAGAGAGAGAAAGAAAACAAACAAAAAACATACAGAAGTACTAGATGCCGCGCATGAGCACAGCATAACTCATTGTCGCCAACTGGGGAAATGTCATGGAACCTTGTGTGGTAACACAGTGCGGTTATCGCCAGATCGAGGAGCTGCCACGGGATCGACCCGTGGTCCCTAGAAGGTCAAGCACCGCCACAATTATGGATGTGCCTTCCATGTCGGGTTTGGGGGCTTGGTTCCAGGCGGTAGCACTGTTCTCAGCTCAGTTGTGTACAGGTTCCCTGCTGGGATCCCTCATTCGGCCTGTTTGCCAGACGCTCGCGTGTTTCAAGCCGCGCCGCTCCTCCCATCACAGTCGGCCGACGGCGCATGCAGGCGATGGGGGACCCTGCCTGGCCGCTGGAGGGACCCTGCCAGGCTGCTAGCTCTGTGGCCCTGCCAACCCCCCCGTCGCTGCGCGAGAACCTCCAGTCGTTCCCAGCCGAGTGTGCTTTTCTCGAGCGGGGGATGGGCGAGGATGAATCCGTTCAGTGCCGTCCGGAACGCTCTCACAGCGTTCTGGAACGCTCTGAGAAAGCCGCGGCGCCCGAAACATCCTCCAGAGCCGCCGAATATCAGAAATGTTCGATTTATCCTCACCCGAGTTTATCCTCGTCCTGGCCTAGTCTTATTGCGTTTTCCTCCCCAGTCACAGGATCGCCCCCCCCCCCCCCCCCCCCCCCCTCAGCCCCTCTCGACGCCGCACGGTGCCTGTTGCCCCCCCTTGTCCTGCTGCTGCTCGGGCGGCACGCCGCTGCTCTTCGTGCTCCTCATCCACCTCGTCCTCCTCATCCTCCGCCTTCTCGCTTTCCTCCTCCTCCTCCTCCTCCTCCTTCTCCCTCTTAGCTCTCGAAGCTGTTTTATATGGGTTTCGCGTAGCACAGTATATAGAAGCATAGATATTCCCTACCTAGGCTATGCCTAGAAGGGTTCTTACTGTGTGGGCTTAGAGGGCCGGGGAGTGGAACCCGCCCCGGGCGGTTCCCCCAGGATCCGCCTCGCGGTTCCCCCAGTGACGTTCCCTTAGCATAGCGTTGCTTACCTCATCTTAGCTGAGCTTATTTCATCTTAGCTTAGCTTAGCTTAATCTTAGCTTAATCTTAGCTTAGGTTTATCTTAGCTTAGCTTACCTTCATCTTAGCTTCGCCGAGCTTTAGCATAGCAGAGCACAGCATAGCATATCATAGCGTAGCACAGCACAGCGCAGCACAGCATAGCATAGCAAAGCCCAGCATAGCACAGCATAGCATAGCATAGTGCAGCACAGCACAGCACAGCATAGCACAGCGCAGCATAGCATCGCATAGCATATCATAGCATATCATAGCATAGCATAACGCAACTTAGCATAGCATAGCATAGCTTAGCGTAGCATAGCACAGCGCAGCACGACATAGCATAGCTTAGCATAGCATATCATAGCATAGCATGGCATAACGCAGCATAGCATGGCATAGCATATCATAGCAACTAATGCTGCTTTCCTGGGGGCTCCAACTTCTAGGTAGGGTCGCACTGGGGTAATTATATATATATATATACACAAATGATTCCTGAGGCCACGGCCTCATCCACCTGTTCTTAGACAGGCCCGGACGGCTGGCCGCACTGGTGGTCGCTCGCTCGCTCATCCTCCTCGTGCGGCGTTCCAGAAGGAGCCTCGCTTCCGAGGATCGAGAGTGTTGGCATCTCTTTCTCAGCGGAAGCCTCTTCCTCCTCGTCCTCCTCCTCCTCCTCCTCCACCTCTTCCTCGATCGGCGTTTCAGAAGGGGCCTCGGCTCCTAGGAACGAAGCCGTGGACACCTCGCTCGCAGCGGAGGGCGGCGGGAGCGAAGCCAGGTCGCCTCCGCCAGCGGAGGCCGGCGGAGGCCGCCTGTTGAGGCTCCCAGCTTGGGCGTCGCGTGCCCGCTCGAGGGCCCCAGAGGGGGCCTCTCGGGCCCGAGAAGTAGTCTACCTTCCTCCCCTCTCCCCCCCCCTTGATATTTTCTCGCCCCCCATCGATTGCCGCCCCCAACTCGTGGCCACTCGCGTCCAGGGGGGGGGGGGGGTCGAGCTGCCGCAGATGGTGGCGCTCTGCCGCTCCCCTGCGCTGGTCCGGCCGAGCGAGCGCGCCCGTGTTGCATGTCACGCCTGCCCGCCGCTGGTCCCCGCCCCGCCCCGCCCCGCCCCCCCCCCGCCAGGGCGTGCAGGAGGCGCTCCTGGAGTGCAGGACTCTCAGTTGGTTCCAAAGGGGACCCCTGGGCAAGGGACTTTTGAGATGGACGATGCCGATTTCTCAAGTGTACGTCCGTTCGGCTTCGCCCACACGGTCGCCGCATGACGCTTGCACTCGCACTCTCCAAAGTCTCAAAAGCAGCGCCGCGGTCTCAGGCGTCCCTTTCGCTGGCGTCCCTTGAGGAAACGTATCAAGGACGGCAGCGGGGGCGGGGAAGTAGGTGCCGCGCGGCCCGAGAGGCCAGGGGTCCTCGGAGGAAAGAAAGTCCTGACATGCCCCCGCGTCGTCATAAAAAAAAGCTGGATGGGAGGTTTTTCGCCGTGTTCGGCCTCTGGAGGCCCTAGCCTGGCCCCAGGACAAGCAAAAAAGACTCGGGATGAAAACCCGGTCCCGGGGAAAGGGTCGGGACTTCCAGGGATAGCGTATTGAACAAATCAGGACGTCGCATGTCTGGGAAGGTACCCATACCGCTACCCTCTGCCCGTCCCTCGTTGTGGGCATCCTGGGAGCCCCTCGTCGCCATCGTTGGATTCCGTCGGATTTTTGGTCAGAACGCACCCAGGAGAGGTCCGGGGTTTAGCGGCATCCGTACCGTTTGGATTTCCCAAGGGGGTGCAAGCTAGGTGCGCTCGCGCTTCATCTAACGTCCTATCCACGCCTCCATGAGGGCGCGTGTGAAAGTCTGAGACGGTGGAGCGCCATCTTGTCGAACCCCCGTCCCTGGAAGCCCCAGGGACGACCTGCCTTGAGATTTTCGGAAATTCCGCCACATGACTGTGACAGCGGCGTTTTGGATTCATTTCGCGAGACATCCTGCCAAAGGTCGTCCAGGGCGAAGGTGTTACAGTCGAGCATCTGATTAAGAAACCTACCCCGCGAAAAGTTGGGCCAGCGTTTCTGAACCAACTGGCCAGAAAGCCAGCCCAGTTCCTTGAGCACACTCGCCCCCTCCAGCGTTCACGACAGATCTTGGTCCAGGCTGTTTTAAGACACTGCCTGGAAGCTGGCCCAGGCTCCTCACATGAGAACCATCCTGACCACATCTTCGGCTGCCCTCGCTCGTCCCCATCCCGGCGCCGCGGGGCAGGAGACTGGGGGCGCCGCCAGAGGTCCTGGGCGAGGCGCGCCCGGGCGGCCGAGCACCGGGGCTCCGGGACACGGGGGTCCACGCGAACGAGGGCTTGTTAGAGCGCCGGATCTTGCAGGATCCTGCAGAGCCAGGGTCGCATTGACCTGGGCTCGGGCAGGATCCTGCAGGATCCTGCAAGCTTGACTTGCCCAGGGGTTGCATGGACCTGCGTCAGTGCGCCCCCGAAGCGAAAGCAATGATCAAGAGTGAGGGCGGAAACGTCGGTGTCGATCTTCGTCGTCGTCCATCTTTCTCATCGACACTTCGTGAATCACCCTCGCGCATCGGCGACGGCCAGCGCGGGCATTGGCCAAGATCGGCGAGGACAAGATCCTGTAGGATCCTTGCAGGATCTTGCAGCATCCTGCAGGCCTGACTTGTCCGGGTCTGGATGGACCTGGATCGGAAGATCTCCGACCCCCGCCCTGCACCCACAGCTCGGGTGCTCGTCGGGGTGACATTCCTGGGGGCCCCCTGGGGGACGTGTTGCGGTTGGGGGACGTGTGCTCGGCGTGTCGGGCCGCCGGTTGCGGCCCGCCACGCATCGGCGCGACACGCGGACCAAGTCCCGGCTCTCGTCCCGCGGAGCGGGGCGTCACGCCAGTCAGCTCGGAGGGCGCAGCGTGTCGCCCGGGCCGCCGCCGCGACACGCTAAGCAACAGTTCCCGACCGGAACGGTTATGCAATATATTCTATAGGCTCAAGTTTGATTATGGGTTGAGTCACGCTCGATTCAAGCCGACGGACGTTCGAAGCAGCATCGACGCACATGTGGATCGGGTCGGCTCCATCTAACCGAGAAGGGTCTTTAGTTTTGGGTCCCCCACCCCCCTTCTTTCTCTAGGCGGGGAACAAACTCGATCCTCCTCCTCCTACACCTCCAATTCCCCGCCGTCTCCTCCTCTTCTTCCTGATCCTCCTCCTTCTCCTCCTCGTCCTCCTCCTGCTCCTCCTCGTGGTCGTTATCGAAGCCGTCGTCGTCGTCGCGGCGGATCTTGTTGGGCGGACTGGATCATGTGTGTTTTTTTTTGTTCCCGGGAATTTTCAATTATGGGCCACCCTGCACGCAAGAGGAACCGTGGGCTACCTTACACGCGAGAGCATTTTCTCATGAGGATTGCAATAGGAATCAGCGGCTGTGCTTGTAGTCGTGATTGTAGCCATGGTTGTATTAGCGATTGGAATCGTGAATGTAGTCGCGATGTTAGTCGTAATCGTAGTCGTCGTCGTCCTCTTCGTCGTCGTCGTCGTCGTCACGGCGGAGATGATGTTGGGGGGCTCTTACCCTACACGCGAGAGGTTTGTGAGCACCTCCTCACGACGGTTGAAATAGGAATCAGTGGTTACGGCTGTAATCGTGGTTGTGGTCGTGGTTGGAATCGCGGTTGGAATCGTGATTGTAGTCGCCATGGTAGTCGTAATCGTAGTCGTGGTTGTAGTCGCAATCGTAGTCGTAATCGTAGTCGTAGTCGTCGTCGTTGTTGCGCGGCGGGTGCCGCGGAGAAATTCCCAACCAACCTGTGTTGTTGGGTCCTCGTTTTGAAGAGACGGTCCCCGCGTTCCTCCTCCTCCTCTCCTCCTCTCCTCCTCCTCTCCTCTCCTCCTCCCTATCCTTTCTCCTCCCTGCGTTTCACCCACCCAGTACAGCGTTTCGTGGCCCAATAGGGAGCTCCACCGAAGGCCCCAGTGCTACCGTCCACATGCGTCCCCCACACCCATTTCGGCACACCCCTCACACGCTTCGTGGCCCAATAGGGAGCTCCACCGAAGGCCCCAGTGCCACCGTCCACATGCGTCCCCCACACCCATGTCGGCACACCCCTCACACGCTTCGTGGCCCAGTAGGGAGCTCCACCGAAGGCCCCAGTGCCACCGTCCACATGCGTCCCCCACACCCATTTCGGCACACCCCTCACACGCTTCGTGGCCCAATAGGGAGCTCCACCGAAGGCCCCAGTGCCACCGTCCACATGCGTCCCCCACACCCATTTCGGCACACCCCTCACACGCTTCGTGGCCCAATAGGAAGCTCCACCGAAGGCCCCAGTGCCACCGTCCACATGCGTCCCCCACACCCCATTTCGGCACACCCCTCACACGCTTCGTGGCCCAGTAGGGAGCTCCACCGAAGGCCCCAGTGCCACCGTCCACATGCGTCCCCCACACCCATTTCGGCACACCTCTCACACGCTTCGTAGCCCACAAGGGAGCTCCACCGAAGGCCCCAGTGCTACAGTCCACATGCGTCCCTCGCACCCATTTCGGCACACCCCTCACACGTTTCGTGGCCCAATAGGGAGCTCCACCGAAGGCCCCAGTGCCACCGTCCACATGCGTCCCCCCACCCAGTACAGCGTTTCGTGGCCCCCCTCCCCCTCCTCCTTGCGTTTCACCCACCCAGTACACCGTTACGTGGCCCCATAGGGAGCCCCACCGAAGGTTCCAGGTCTACCGTCCGCATGCATCCCCCCCCACCCAGTACAGCGTTTCTTGGCCCTCCTCCCCCTCCTCCTTGCGTTTCACCCACCCAGTACAGCGCTTCGTGGCCCCATAGGGAGCTCCACTACAGGTTCCAGGTCTACCGTCCGCATGCGTCCCCCCCACCCAGTACAGCGTTTCGTTGCCCTCCTCCCCCCCTCCCTGCGTTCCACCCACCCAGTACAGCGCTTCGTGGCCCCATAGGGAGCTCCACCGAAGGTTCCAGGTCTACCGTCCGCATGCGTCCCCCCACCCAGTACAGCGTTTCGTGGCCCTCCTCCCCCTCCTCCTTGCGTTTCACCCACCCAGTACAGCGTTTCGTGGCCCCATAGGGAGCTCCACCGAAGGTTCCAGGTCTACCGTCCGCATGCGTCCCCCCCACACAGTACAGCGTTTCGTGGCCCTCCTCCCCCTCCTCCTTGCGTTCCACCCACACAGTACAACGCTTCGTGGCCCCATAGGTAGCTCCACCGAAGGTTCCAGGTCTACCATCCGCATGCGTCCCCCCCACCCAGTACAGGGTTTCGTGGCCCTCCTCCCCCTCCTCCCTGCGTTCCACCCACCCAGTACAGCGCTTCGTTGGCCCATAGGGAGCTCCACCGAAGGTCCCAGTGGCATCGCCCGCCGGCGCCGGCCACCGCCCAGCACAGCCCTTGCTCCCTGCGTTTCACCCACCCAGTACAGCGCTTCGTGGCCCCATAGGGAGCTCCATAGAAGGTCCCAGTGGCACCGCCCGCATGCGCCAGCCACCACCCAGCACAGCCCTTGCTCCCTGCGTTTCACCCACGCAGTACAGCGCTACGTGGCCCCATAGGGGGCCCCAGCGAAGGTCCCAGTGGCATCGCCCGCATGCGTCCGGCACCACCCAGCACAGCCCTTGCTCCCTGCGTTTCACCCACCGAGTGCCGCGTTCCGTGGCCCCATAGGGAGCTCCACCGAAGGTCTCAGTGGCACCGCCCGCATGCGTCAGCCACCACCCAGCACAGCCCTTGCTCCCTGCGTTTCACCCACCGAGTGCCGCGTTCCGTGGCCCCACAGGGAGCTCCACCGAAGGTCCCAATGGCACCGCCCGCATGCGTCAGCCACCACCCAGCACAGCCTTTGTTCCCTGCGTTTTACCCACGCAGTACAGCGCTTCGTGGCCCCATAGGGAGCGCCACCGAAGAAGATATTCATAATTGCGGTGCTCACAACTGCAGATTGTTGGGTCCTTCGCCAGGCTGATTGTTTTTGTTTCCTCTATTGGAGGGACCCCAGTCCGTCAGTAAGGGCGTCGAAATGTTAATTCGTCTCCACTGTTGGGGGGAGGTTCTAAAGGCACATCTCTGTGAACTGTTTGTTGCTCCGCACCCACCTTCCCCTTCCGTTGTCCTATGCACCCCCCGGTCGGACGCGCGCGGGGGATTGGAAAGGGGGGGGTATGAATTTTGCTGCGCGCAGCATGTGTCGGCCCTGCAGCTCGGCGCTCTCCTCGACATGTTAGCGAAAAGCAACACTAGGTGATTCCGACCTCCTTTCTAGCCAGGGGGTGGTGTTTGGCGCGGGGGATGGTGGGGGGATCCGTCTCCCCTGCCCCTCCCCACTCGTGGCCGTGGCCGTTCCAGGCGTGCGCCCACCCCTGCTTGTCTTAGCTTCGTCACCTGACGGAGTGCTCAATCAATCATCATCCCACCATCCGTGCTCCCGCTCCTCCTTTCTGCACCTTCTCCTCCTCCTTTGCTTCCCACTCCTCATGAAGGTGTGCTGGGGGCGACTCTTGCTTGTTTCTCACGCCTCAGAGCACCATATTCCATACCTCCGTCGACCCTCTCACCAGGAACTCTCTATGCGCCTCGTTCGGTCCCGTTTCCCGTTCAGTCGATTCCGCAGGTGCCCCCCAGCTCGTGCTTCCTCCCTCCCTCTCTCCCTCGCCCACCCCCTCCTCCTCTCCCTGCCTCTCCCGCCCTATCCCCTGCCTCTCCCGCCTCTCCAGGCAAGAAGGCAAAGAACACTTATTTTCCGACGGTCTGGGAGCAAGCTTGGATGCTTGGGGGTGGTCCTTGGAGGGCTCGGAGGGCACTTGAAACCGTCTTGGGGCCGTCTTGAGGCCTCTTGGATGTTTGTCCGAGGCTATCTCGAGCCATCTTGAAGTATCTTGAGCAATCTTGGAGGCCATCGTGGGCTCTCTGAGTCCCTCTTGGAGCCATCTTGGGTAATCTTGGATGTTCTAGCCCCTCCGCCCCCTTTCTCTCTCAGGCCCAGGGGAGGAGGTATGGGGGAGGGGTTGAGGCCCCCCCTTTGCCCGCAAGCCGTCTCGCTCACTCCCACCTGCCCTCCCAACACAGAAGTAACACGCGAGGGAGTCTCAGAATACTGCTTAGGAGCGCCACGCATGCCATGTGCGCCACGGGTTCCAGGAGCACCAGGCACCCTGGAGGCCCAAGCGAGCCAGGCGCGCCAGGTGCGGCACGTGCTCCACGTTTAAGAAATATGCCGGCACTCCCGCCGTCCCTATCAACAACTCATGCAAAGTGGTCGCGGGGCGCCCGCGCATGCTTCAGATGTGGAGGCAGAGTGCATTCTGGATGGTCATGTTTGAAAGGGATGGTTGGCCTGCGCGCAGCGAGCGATATGACGGCACCCCCGCCGTCCATGTCAAAAACCAATGTAAAATGGTCGTGGGGCGCTCGCGCAAGCTCCATATGTGGAGGCAAAGTGCATTATGTATCGTTGTTTGACAGGGATGTTTGGCTTGCGCGCAGCGGGCAACATGACAGCACCGCAGCCGTCCCTATCAAAAACCGATGCAAAGTGGTCGTGGGGTTCCCGCGCAAGCTCCAGATGCAGAGGCACAGTGCATGATGTTTGTTTGTTGTCAGGGATGGTCTACCTGCGCGCAGCGAGCAATATGACGGCACCCCGGCCGCTCTTCTCAAAAACAAATGCAAAGTGGTCGCGGGGCTCCCGCGCATGTTCCAGATCTTGAGGCGAAGTGCAGTCTGTGATTATTTGAGGGGGATGGGGGAGGGCGTGTCTCGGATTGGCTCACAGTCGGGCGGGGGAGGGGGTGTATATCAGTAAGAAGCAGTGAAGAACCCTTCCCGCGAGCAGGGGAAGGAGGGTTTTTGCAGAGAGAAGGCAAAGTTCGTGAAACCACCTACGCCCAGAGGGCTGGTGGGAGTTGATTCAGAACGGGAGAGCGTGTGCAGAGTTTTGTCTCCGTGTCGTCATTTCTACACGAGCGGGCTGCAAGCTAACTTATGGCTCTGACAAGTGGACTCGGCTGCGATTACACGATGTCGGTGCTCGCCCCCCTCGCCGTTGTCGACGCCGAGTGTGGCCGACAACAGAACCGCAATCTCCTCTGAGGTTGGCCGGCCCCCCGGCAATCAACTTACATTGATACTCATCCCCTGCTCGCCGCGGCCGTGCCAGCTCAACCTTTCGTCTGATAATGTTATGTTTTTGAACGGGCGCCCGAGCTTTGAGGCGGCTGCGGGCGCATCTTGGGTGGAGCTGCCATACGGGCCCTGCCATGGAGGCCTTCCGTGGAGCTCCCCATGGGGCCACGAAGCCTGTGAGCGGTGTGCCAAACTGGAGCGGGACCGCCGTGCGGTCGCTGACATTGGGGCTTTCGGTGGAGCTCCCTGTGAGGCCACAATGGGGCGGGGCCGCCATGCGAGCGCTGCCATTGGGGCCTTTTTGGTGGAGCTCCCTATGGGGCAGCGAAACGTGTGAGGTGTGTGCCAAGAGTGGGGTGGGGCCGCAATGCGAGCGCTGCCATTGGGGCCTTCGGTGGGGCTCCCCATGGGGCAACGAAACGCGTGAGGGGTGTGCCACAAGAGGGCGGGGCCGCCATGCCCGCGCTGCCATTGGGGCCTTTAGTGGCGCTCCCGATGGGGTCACGAAGTGTGTGAGGTGTGCGTGTGCGTATGTGCCGAAACAGAGACATGTGGAGGGCAGATGCAGGGATGGGATGAGGGAGGAGAGAGCGGGAGGAGGAGAAGCGGGAGTGACGCGGGGCGCTCGCTGTCGCTTCAAAACTAGGACCCAACACCATAAGGTGATTGTGACAAATCATATCGTCGGAGCTCTGTGCTTTGGGCCCTGGTGGCGCGCTACAGCGCCAGAGGCTTCCTCGTGGCACGTTGCTGGTGCGCGACCACTCCGTCTGTTGCATCTTCGAAGGACTTCTTTTCTAGTACACGACGTGGATCTGACGCAGATCCGACGTAGATTCGACATGGATTCCGCGAGGATTTGACGTGGATTCGACGCGGATGGGGGGCGCCAGGGGACAGACGAGGTCCTCCGAGGATTCAACATACCGCCCCCCCCCCACGGGAGGCCGTGACGGTGTTGCGGGAGGAGGCCCGCAGGGCGGAGGCGGAGGGCCGGCTCGACGGGCTGGTGGCGCGCTGCGACCGGAGCTTCCGGGCCCGCAG